TTTTTATTTGGCGTCATAATAATTACTAACAAACAAACAATTGCGTGTTTACTAAATTCGGCACCACAATTATTGAATACGGTAAATCAACAAACAATTGCACATTTTCTATATTTGGGATTAGATTGTTAGCAGATATTTTGGTTATACGGGGTATGGTAATAATTTTACACACTATATATCCCCCAAGCCCGATTTACAAATTTAGAATAAGCGCTATGCACTTTTTTATTTATGCTATTATAACAAAACATGTTGATTAAACATCTAGCATCACATTTTTTACCGTTGATAGCCATCAAAAATAACCTTACAGCCGTTGGTGATATTGATCCATGCTAGAAAAAATAAGTACGTATTATTTAACGGTTCCGTGGGTCCGCTTTTATTTTGGCCTAGGCCGAAGCTAAAATAGCAATAAAAACTTGACCGGCTTTAATAATCAATGGCCTGCATTAAACTTTATGCGGTATTACCTTAATTTCTCACAGTCAATTTTTAATTTATAACAAATATTACGAATAACTAAACCCTTTTCTTATTATATGTGATCCCGTGATAAGAATGGGAGATTATATTGCAAAAACTATATTATAAGCCTGAAGGTTACTATCGGACTGCTAAAAAAATGCTGGATGCTTGCAAGAAAGCCGGGTATAAGTTCACTCTATCTATGATAAAAAAATGGCTAAACCACCAAGCTTTATATCAGATACATAAGCCTCGGCCTAAATTCATTCAGTATGCCTCTTTTAATGATATACAAGATCTAAACAATGTTTATCAATCTGATACTACACTATTTTCTCATTGTAAAATAGGCAATCGAATTTATAAGCATAGGCTTGTAATAAAAGATGTAGCTACTAGGTTTCGTCGTAGTTTTGCTTTAACTAATAAATCATCTGCACAAGTAGCTAAAGCATTTCAAAAAATTTATAATAATCCAAATTGCCCTCTTATTTGGCCAAATGTTTTAATCGTTGATAGAGGTACAGAATTTTTGGGTGAGTGTAGAGATTTATTATTTAGTTATGGTGTAAAAATTCAGTATGCTAACTCTAAACGTGGTGTAGCTATTGCTAAACGTGATCATTAAGAATTTGAAAAGCATGCTTATTTTTGGCAAGATGCTAAAGATTTTCATTTACCTTTAACTGATAGATCTAGAGCATGGGTTAAGGGTCTTCGTATAAATGATGATATTTATAATAATACTCCTACCCGATTGATAGGTATGTCTCCTAATGAAGCTGTAAAACAAGTATTAAAAGGAAAAAAAATAATAGCTAGACCTTCAGTAAAGAATAGGAAACCAATTGGTTATAATGAACCTCTTTTACCTAGCTATACTGAAGTTCGACATTTATTAGAACCCGGTGAATTAGAAGATGAGAGAAGAAGGGCAACTGATTGCAATTAGTCTCCTGAAGTTTTTTCAATTGATTCTTATTTGATAAAAGAAAATCAGCCTATTCTCTACAAGCTTTACAAGGGTCCTAGACGCTCATTTGTAAGAGAAGAACTGCAAATCGTCCCGCCAGACACAGTATTACCACCCAAATATATTCTCAAGAATTAGTCTTACCTCCTCTCTCCTCCACTTGGTATAGGATCTGTTCAAAAGCACTGCTTAAGTAATCATCTATTTCATTTCTATTATAAACTATAATTTGCATATTTCTAAGCCAGTCAGTTCGTGAATTCTTTTTTCCCTGTTTTTTATTTCCAGGTTTATTATCTATAAGAAATTTGGTAAGAGAACATAGAGCGAACTTAAATTGTCCACGCTTATCGAATTCCTTTTCAAGTATTTCTCTAAACTGCTTTCTTCGGCTTTCTAACATTTTTCGTATATCGCTTCCATTATCTGGATGAGATTTAGGAACTTTTGCACGATATACAGCTATAGCTCTTCTTTTAACTACCATTCCCAACTCTTCTTGCTCTCTAAACTCTAGATCTTTTTCCGGTCTTTCTTGCCTCTTCTTAATCTCTTCTAATTTTCTTTTTTCATGTTCTTCTTTTAATTTCTCTTTTGTTGGTGGTCTAACTACTTCTGGATCGTATTGTTCAAGATCATGACAGAGAGTCATACAGTCATCCAAGTTTTCTGTTTTAAGACATTCACCTAGACCAAGTTCTTTCCATTTTTTTTGTAGTTGTGTTCCCCATGTTCTAAAATGTTTACCAGGTTTTTGGGCATTTGGATTAACCATTTGTCTGCCTCCTCCTGGCTAATATAGTCTCTATTCTTTTGAACAGGTTCTTGGATAGCCACTTGAACAGGTTTTTGAATATCCTCTTCAATGGGTTGTTGGTTAGCTTCTTGTAATGGTTTGCATAGATTTTTTCGCTTAAGATGCTCATGAAGTTTTTGAGGTGTTGAGCATTCACTACCACAACATTTACAGATTGTATCTTTTTTATCACTTCTTGTTTTTCTAACCATAGTGTTACGTATCTCTAACCATCACGCTTTTACTTGTTTATAAAATTTTTTCTTTAATTAATTATTTCCTATTCTTTTCACTTTCCGATTATAGAGTTTTCACCGAAGGCGGTATTTTTAGGCTTGCCAAAATGGTTTTAGCTATCCTTCCCAAAACTGAAGTATTAACTAATTCCAAAACTGAAGTATTAACTAATTATTAATTAATCTTTTGAAATTTAGTGATAAAAAATAGGATGATCGGTGAATATTCTTGCCCATATCTCTGCAATACCGGAAAGGCTTGTGGGAGAGCTTGCATTCGCCCTGAAGGTTGCCGATTTCATTGGAAATCAAAAAAACAGGTTCCATGCTCTGATTGTGGGAAGCCAACTTCTTCAGCTTGTGGACGATGCCCGTTAAATATTAGAGGTTATTATGTTATTCAGTATTATGATAGGCTTCGATCAAAAATACGAGAAGGTAATGGAAAAATCGGTTCGGCTAGCACTATACCTTAATTTTAGCCAGAATTTTAGGCGCAATATTTAGCCAAATTTTCGTTAGACTTTTATATTTTTTTTATTAAAGTTTCATGATTAATATTTATTTCTCTCTAGAAGCAATTCTTGAATAGTTAGAGATATTCATAAATCTAATGAATCTGAAATCGTTAGACAACAAATCTAACCAAAAATCAATATAGTTTTTGGCCTTTGGGAGTCTCTAGAATATATTCCTGATATGGTTATAAATTTAACTAAAAATCAATATAGTTCCTGAGCTTTAAAAGCACACGCAATACATTCTAGAGGGTTTAAAAATTGTTAGACTTAATTTATCTAACCAAAAAATCAATATAGTTTCTAGGCTTTAGAAGCCTCCAGGATTTATTCCTGATATATAAAAATATCGATATAGTTTTTTGGCTTTAGAAGCCTCCAGAATATGATCCAATCAATATAGTTCCTGGGCTTTAGAAGCCTTCAGGATTTATTCCTAATATATAAAAATATCGATATAGTTTTTTGGGTTTTAGAAGCCTCCAGAATATGATTCTGATATACTTTAAATCTAACTGTCCTAAAACCTCCAGAATGATATTGTGTGATACTAACTAGAAAGATATTATGAAACATGCAGGTAAATACATGTGTAGGACATATACCACTCTGTTGGGCTTACTTTTGAGAATAGTAAAGTGTTCTAAATTGGCTAGAAATATGTA